CTTGGGCAGTTTGGAACTCTTATGCATTGCTAATGTGAGTGTAAAATGGTACAACAACTATGGAAGGCATAGTGAAAAAGTTGGAAATAGAAATACCATTTGATTCAGCTATCTGTCTTAGTGAAAGCAATAAGACAAGAGAAGGAAATAAGAGGTATCCAAATTGGCAGAGAGGAGGTAAAATTATCTCTGTATGCAATGATATGTGCTGGAGAAGAGTGTTGAATATACCACGGACTGCTAGGAGAACAAACAGGTTTGTCCTGGAGAAGATGAAGCCGGAATGCTCCTTGGAGTCAAGGATTCTGAAGCTTCATCTGACATACTTTGGGCATGTTGCAAGGAGGGACTGGTCCTTGGAGAGGGACATCATGTTTGGCAGAGTGGAGGGGTGGTGCAGGAGAGGAAGACCTTCGATGAGATGGATCAATTCTGTGACTGGAGCAGTGGGAATAAGTGCATTTGAGATGGCTAGGTTGGCACAGGATAGAACAGCGTTTAGAGCTCTTGTACATAGGGTCACTATGAGTCACAAATGACTCGATGGCACATAACAACAACAACAACATACATTAAAAAATCCCAAGGACTCAGCAAGAAAACTACTGGGCATAGTTGACCAATTCAACAAAGTGGCAGGATACAAGATCAACATGCAAAAAGTCAATTGGATTTCTCTACAGCAACAAAGAGAATACAGAACTGGACCTAAGAAAAAACAATACTCTTCACAATAGCTAATCACAAGATTAAATACTTGGGAGTAAATCTAACTAGGAGCACAAAGGATCTATTCAAAGAAAATTACGAAACATTACTTATAAAGGAAAAAAAAAGTGACCTGGAAAAATGGAAGAATATACTGTGCTCATGGATGTTGTTGTTATTATGTACTGTCGAGTCAGCGACCCTATTACAACAGCCCTAAACTCTGCTTTGTCCTGTGCCAATCTCACTGCCTCTGATACACCTATCCTGATTACCCCAGTCACTGAATCAATCCACCTCAAAGGGGGCCTTCCCCTCCTTCGCCATCCCTCCACCCTCCCAAGCGTGATGTCCCTCTCCAAGGTCCCTCCTTACAACATGTCCAAAGCCTCAGGATCTTTGTCTCCAAGGAGCAGCCCGGTTTAACCCTCTCTAGGATGAATCTGCCAAGAAAACAAACAAATTCATCCTAGAGAGGGTTAAACCAGGCTACTCCTTGGAGGCAAGGATTCTGGGGCTTCGTCTGACATACTTTGGACATGTTGGAAGGAGAGACAGGTCCTTAGAGAGGGACATCATGCTGGGTAGAGTAGAGGGACAGCGCAGGAGGGGAAGACCCTCTATGAGGTGGATTGATTCAGTGACTGGGTTAATGGGGATAGGTGTGTCAGAGACAATGAGATTGGCACAGGATAGAGCAGGGTTTAGGGCTCTTGTACATAGGGTCGCTATGAGTCGCAAACGATTCGACGGCACATAACAACAAGATAACAACAGGATGAATCTGTTTGTTTTCTTAACGGTACATGTTACCCTCAATACTCTTCTCCAACACCACAGCTCAAAAGCATCAGTTCTCCTTTTATCTGCCCTAGTCATTGTTCAACTCTCTGAAGCATAGGAAGGCTCAGTACTATGAAAATGACAATATTACCAAGGGCAGTTTACACATTCAGTGCAATCCCAATACAAATGCCAATTCCATTCTTCAATGAGATGGAAAATGCAATCTCTCCCTCTCTCTATCTCTCTCTCTCTCTTTGTCCCTCCCTCCTCTCTACCTCCTCTCTCTATTTCTCCCCTCCCTCTGCCTCTCTCTCTCTCTTTCTCTTTCCTTCCTCTCTGCCTCTCCTCCTCCTTCCTTTCTCTCTTTCCCTCTTCTCTTCCTTCCTGCCAATCCACTCCCACCCTTGCCTATGTGTGTGTGTGTGTGTGTGTGTGTGTGTGTGTGTGTGTGTGTGTTTAAAGGAATACTTGTGCTTACCACAAAAATACACACTGTGAGAATTGTTGGAGAGTTCCAACTGCAGTCTCTGAAACACAACAAAAACCAAACTTTCTACAAGCCTTTTGTTAGAGTTATGAGATACTCTTAATGTTGTCATGTGCCACTGAATCACAACCTTCATAACCTGACCCTCCAGTGAGTTCTGCCCATCTTTCTCCTGCAGAGTAGCTCATTGGTTCCCTCCCATTTCATATTTCATCTGTGTTTGCCTCAATAAAATTGTTACACATTTAATCTCATATAAATTTGTTTATTGAGGCACAGACTACCCTGTGGAATAGATTTTATTAGATTCGGTGCTGCCGTTTTCCTCAGCTTTACTGTACATGCACTTTGGTGAACCATGGAAATTATTATTTTCATTTTCACAATTTTACATTGTTTGGGTTTTTTTTTAAGTTTTTATCTCCCATCTGTATTATATATATCTACCTGGAGATTTTCTAATTCTCTCTTTAGATCCTTTACAATTTTACCATTTTTGGGGTTTTTTTTTATTATTATTAGTTTCAATGAACATCTACAGAGATTTTGGAATTTTCATTCATTCATTGTTGCACTTTGCTCCCCACCTACCTACTCCCACCTCCACCCCCAGTTCGCTCCTCTCCTTGAAAAACAAAAGAAAAACTTCTTCATTGGTACACAATCCTCCCCCGCAGAGTTACCATTATTTTTTTAAAAATCTCGTCTGAAGATTCCAACATCTGAGCTATTTCCATATTTTCTTTTTCGTTGTTCTTTCTTAATAATGTGATTTTTTCTCCCCTCTTGCCTCGTGTGTTTGTGTGCACACACTTTTGCATGTCTTCCGATCCACTACTGACTCGTTGGAAGAAACACTGACAAGCTCCTCTTATGTGGTTTTTAGCTTCAAAAACCAGATGTACTTGACAGCAATGAGTTTGAGTTTTTAGTTAGTAGTTGTGATAGTATATATTTAATTGTTGTAGAACTTATTTTCTTTGTTTTATAGACTTAAAATTCTTAATGTCAGTTTGTTATGGAGCTCAAGCTGTGTTGTGGTTTAGGCATTTGACTGCTGGTCAAAATATCAGTAGTTGATACCCACCAGCCATTTCAAGGAACTTGGATAAAGTTACTACTTTGGAAACCAAAAAAAAAAAAAAAAGCAGTTTTGCTCTGTCATCCAGTGTCACTGTGAGTAGGAATACATATGACGGCAGTGGGTTTTTTAATTTGGCAGTGATTTGCTCTTGCATTGTGGTTCATATTTTGCTGTTTTTCCAAATAATCTTTTCTCAGTATTTTTGCTCTTCTCTATGCTGCTACTGAATTCCTCTTATTCAGAAATACCCTTTTGTTGGTTGTTATTTTACTTGTGCTGTGGCATGGGTCTTGTTCTAAGTTCTAGCCTTTCTTCATTCTCAGACAGATTCTGTGCACTTTACATCAAGGGTAGGACCTTGCCTGGATTTCTACCTACCTCTGAGCAACCCAAGGTATGCAGTTAAAATTCACTTGCTGCTCAGGAGGAGACAGGTGAACAATCTCCTTCTGTACTAAGAACTGCATTTGAATATCCTCTGGAGTGTCAGCTATGAGCCAGGTCTGAGGCAACACTACCCACCAACAATAGCCACCTTTGAGCTGTCAAACTGCCTTATGTCATCAATAGGTCCTGATCATTTCAGATGCTCTACCATTCCACCAGTGGCTAAAACCTATATTTTCTATCAAAATGTATCCTCAGCCCAAAAAGAGTTTTCTCTCTTCTTCGTGATCAGACAACTTTTATTTGCCACTCAGAAGCAGGAAAGCTTTGACTCTCTTTGGAGTTTGAGAGGTTTTATGACATTGTCTTTGTTACATAAGAGAGAAATATTGCAAAGAGGACTGGAGGGGGCATGTAGGTAATTGTGCAATAATGAATATTTTTAAAAAATGAAAGGGGGGGAAGGGGAAGCCGAGGGGTAAATTGTGCAACAGTGAATGAATGAAAATCTAACTTCTTTGTAAATGTTCATTAACATCACAGTTAAAATTAAATTTTCTTTTTTAAAAGTAGAGATTGCTTTGCATGAGAGAAGGATCTGTGAAGATATATGGGTTTTGTCCCTGTGGAGTATTAAGGGGGACTTTAAATACTTCTGTGTGGACCTTCTTCTCCTCCAGTGAGAGGCTTGGGAGAAAGAAGTATTAAGTGAGTGGGAAATTTAGTTCTTCTAGGGCTCCCAGAGATTATATACTGTCATAATATGACACATTCCATTATGAAAGATTTATTGAAGTTTTAACTGTGTTTTTTATTCGCTTTCATGGCTAGTCTCATCTTTTACTGTGCTTTTCTTAAAGTAAAATGTTCTGTGTTCTCTTTCTGCCTGGGTGTATTGCTATCTTAATTGTCTCTTGATCTCAAAAAAGTTAAATAAGGTAAATGTACAATCTATCTAGGTTTTCTTATTTTTAGAAGAGGAGCAATATTCTTTTGTAGTTTTCTGAATCATAGAAATGAAACTTCCCTCTTGGCTTTTAAAATTATTGTTAATATTTGTGCATTAGAAGTCTATCTTTGATGGGTATAGCAGAGGAGAGATGGAACATGAAGATACATAATATTTTCTATTGCAAGCATGTCTAGGGAACTCTGGTGACCTAGTGACAAGAAGCTGTGCTGTAATCCCGAAGGCATGTGGTTCAGCACTACCAGCCGCTTTGTGGGGGAAGTATGGGCAATCTCCTCCTGTGCAATTAACTGTCCCTGAAAACCTGCTGGAGGATCAGCTATGGGTCGATTCCAGCTCAACACAACAACATCAACAAGAAGCATGTCTAATCATCACATTAACAAAAGAATTGATATATTGGGTTATGATATCTAATTGTATATTTATTGAATGAAAACTTTAAGCAGAAATGTCCCCTATAGTTTAGTATTAGTCAAAATTCCCATAGCACGTTAACGCTAGGAAGAAATAGTTGCTTATGTTATTTTTCACTGTTGGTTATTCTTCAATACAGTTTATTTTGTCCTTTCCACCAGGTGGTTGACCAGATTGATACTCTGACCTCTGACCTACAACTGGAGGATGAGATGACCGACAGCTCCAAAACGGACACCCTGAATAGTAGCTCAAGCGGAACAACAGCTTCAAGCATAGAGAAGATCAAACTGCAGGCTAATACACCTCTCATTAAACCCCCAGTCAACCCGTCTGCTATCCTCACCGTCCTGAGAAAGCCAAACCCTCCACCACCGCCTCCACGATTGACTCCTGTGAAGTGCGACGAGCCCCACAGGGTGGTGTCAGTCATCAATCCTGTGAAGACCAATGGCACTCTTCTTCGAAATGGAGGCTTAGCAGGTGGACCAAATAAAATTCCAAACGGAGACATCTGCTGCATCCCCAATAGTAACTTGGACAAGGTTCCATTGCAGCCTCTGATGCACAGACCTGAAAAAGACAGGTGTCCCCAGGCGGGGCCTCGGGAAAGAGTAAGGTTCAATGAAAAGGTGCAGTACCATGGCTATTGTCCTGACTGTGAAGCTCGGTATAACATAAAAAACAGAGAGGTCCACTTACACAGTGAACCTGTCCACCCGCCAGGAAAGCTTCCTTACGCAGGCCTTTCCCTTCCTCCTCCATCCCATCTTCCTCCTTTTCCATTAGAAAATGGGGGTCTGGGAATAAGCCACAGTAACAGTTTCCCCCCTCTCAGACCTGCAGCTGTGCCTCCTCCCACTGCACCAAAACCACAGAAGACGATCTTGAGGAAATCAACCACTACAACAGTGTGATGTATGCCATTTAAAAAGGAAAAAAAAAAATTAAACTTTTTGGGGTTTTTAAAATTTCTATATTATAAACATAAAATTATAAGTAATGAGCACTTTCTACTCAAGCAATAAAAAGCCCAAATATATTAATCCTGCATTCAGCGAAGTGGCATAAAAATTACATGGTAAGTATGCAGTCCATTGTTTATATCCTGAGTATGCATTATTTTACATGTTTCATCCTCAGAGAATAATGAAGACATCCTGAATACATTATTTTTTGCAATTGAACTATGATAAACTGTGGCCTACAGATTTCAAATACATTGATATACTCTAAGAGATGATAGTAGATTAATTATATCTATGTCTAACTCATCTATGCATTAATGCCATGTCAAACTCTTAAATTTGAACAAATGCTTTTTAATAAGAAATTTTAATACAGAAGCACTATTTTTATTATTTTTTCTAGAGATGATTGTGAGTAATTTTGTATTATTCAATCTAATAATTATACCAAAATTATTTTCTATATATACAATTATGATAATATGTTCAGCTATATCTGCAATGCAAGATTTTGGTATGTGGAAATGTTATTCTTATCAATAAACCATGGTAAATAATGGCAAAGTCAAATGTTCCTAAAAATGAATATAAAGCAGTGATTAATTTCATGTTGATGGTTACAGAGTGGTTAATACTCAGGGTTTGGGGAAGACCACAATGAGTGCTTTCCAGAATTTCCTAAATTAAATATCTTCATCCATGCTACAAATAGAAGTTATCCGTGTCTATTTTACACCTTTGTATTGGCACATCAGGACCTATTTGAGTGCCTTGACTTGTTCCTTAGACACTCCTTTCACTTCTCTCATTATTCTTTTGTAAGTTCCTACTCATAAATGACCTTCCAGTAGATTTCCATGAATTACACAGCAGGAGATGACTCATAATTTTCCTAAAGAGGATAGGTGGATTCGAACTGCCAGAGAAGCATATCATTTGGGTTAGCAGTGCATCTCCATGTGGAACCCCCCACCAGAACTACTTTGCCTTTTTAACATCTCTTACAGACACAGTGGAACTCAACTGGGCAGTTGAGGTAATCACAGGTTTTGCCTGTTGCATCAGCAAGATGTCATCCTTACCAAGGGAACCCACATATTAAATAGAATCAGAAGTAAATTGCTTCTAGAACAGAATACTTTCAATATTGACTGTAAGATGAGTCTTCTCAGAATTCAAAGATTGCTGTATTTCTATTTCAGAAGAAAAGGAGAGTCCTTTACTCCTAGCACTGAGAAAATTTGGCAAATTAGTCAATTTAGAGGGAGCTTGGGTAGCTTAGTGGTAAGGGATTGCACTGCTAATGCAAAGGTATGCATTTCAAATCTACGAGCTGCTTTGTGGAAGAAAGATGGACAATCTCTTCTCATACAATTTACTGACTCTGAGAAGTTCCAAATGGATTATATGAGAACAAGTCAAATCAGAACACTTACCACTCATAGACTAAATAAGATCCCAGTAGAAACAGATTGGACTAATAACACGTTATACTCTTGAGCTAAAACTGAGTTTATCTCCCTTTCAGTTTTGAGACAAGCACACCTAAGCAAATCCAGTTCCTTAAAAAGAGAGAAAAAGATAGTACTGAATAAAAAATAAAAAGTAATACCCCTCTGAATTGAAATATGAAAGGTAAAAGTAGAGAGAGGCTTCTTGGTGGAAATGTGTTTGTAGTGCAGCTTTGTAAAGAGCACAGTGAACTTTTTATGTACTTATCTTTGATCTCAAAACATTATTTTTTGCTGCTACAGAGAGGTAGACTTCAATAATTCCTTTGTTGCCCTTTTCAATAATTTAGAATCTAGTTTTGTGTGTTTCTTTAAAAGTCAAGTGAGAGTTATTTTGATAATTATTATACATAACATAGTCTGCAGAAAGAAAAGAAGCTTCATATTATTTAGTACTTAAAGTACTGAATAATTGAAAAATTAAAAGTTCAGTTAATGTGTCACACAAACAACTGAAAGTCCTCTTCTGGTTTCAAATTAAAAACAATCTTCCTTGGCTAATTTTTCTCCTGTGTAAAACAAACCTTCTATAGACAGGATCAGTTTAACCCCTCCTCAAACAATAGAATGAACATCCAGGAATATTCTACAATGCAAAGTTCCTCAAGAATGACTTCAGCACAGCGTTTTACCTCTAGACCACCTGAGATTTGTTTTGTTGTGTTGTTTTGGTCCCAGCTGACCCATTTTCAACATTTATTTAGATTATAGAAAACTATGTCCCTTAACTAGATGTAAATGTGTAAAACATAGAGAGTCACTAACTAAGCACGTCATAATATATTCCTAGGAACTTACAATTAAATTATCATAAGTGGCAACACAATATTTATAATCAGAGAATATCACTTCCATACTTTAACTTGCAGTGTGCATGTTTTAGACATCATCCACAAAATCATCATAAAATATAGTACATAATTTTCTTTCCTGAAGATCCCTAAACCTGAAATACTTTCTTTAAAACCTTAAGGGCTGAATGTTTCTTTTAGAGTATGTGTTTTAATACATTAATTTACACTCGAATGTACGATAGTGCTAGGGGCCATACTTTTCTGAAAGAGACATTCCTACAAAACATAGAACCAAAATAGTCTGTTTATATCAATTGATAGCTCAATGGTGTATTTTTTGTCTCAGAAAAATAAAATATCTATTAATTAAATTAGAGTAAGATGTGTTTTGGCTCTTTACATACATATTGCCCTGCTTTTGTGATCAAAGAATATTTTATCTTTACTTTCTGAAAAACACAAAATGAAAATGCAAGAAAGTTTCGTCACCTCCCAACAGAGCAGAAGTAAAAGAAAAGAAATAATATCTTATTTAAATAAGTAATTAAGTTAAATAGAAAATAGAGTTGAAAAACCACATGTGATTTCAGAAGAAATTTCTCCTTTTTGCAATTTAATATTATTGTATTCATATCTACTAGCTTTCCCTGAAAAACCTCTTATTTTGGGAGTTATGTAAGTTGTTGTTACTTGCAGTCAAGCCATTGCCAATTCTTAACTGACCCTCGTACAGATTTTCAGAGACTATAAATCTCACAAGAAGAGGTTGTCTGCCTTTCTTCCTTAGAGCAGCTGGTAGATTCAAATTGCCTGTTTGGGGGTTGATGAAACTTTTAATCATTAGGCCACCAGAATTCATCATTTTTGTTGTTGTTTTGGGGAGACTTAAAAGAGTAAGTCTATTATTAGTAGATGTGATTTCATTAACCTTTAAAAAATATCATGTTTAAACTATGCTTGTACTCTAATTATTTAATAAATAAAAGAAGCATAAACTATGTTATATGGCTTTTGGAGTACAACAGTGGTTACTTTTAGCGTTATCAGCCCAGCAGCTACACAGCTTTTAAAAGTATGCAAGACCTTTTATCTACAGGTTCTAATTATAGAACTGTTTGGATGACTCCATGAAGAAAAGCCTGAGTAGTTTTGCCTGTAATTGCACTTGAAATGGTGTAATCAAGTCATGAATCATTGCTTTGACTAAATTTTCCCTAAGGCATATCTGCTGTAACACAATGCCAAGGCTTGTAATTGTTCTGATGATTCAGTTACTTTCTCTTAATTTTCTGGTAGTACAATTGCAAAACCAAAAAAAGTAACAAGAGATTGTGCTCAAATCTATTTTGGTGAAGTTCTAGTGTTTTCTATGTGAGAAAGTGATTTCTATGCAATGGACTTAAAAATCCATAAATCACAATCAGAAAAATTCACAGAATCGGATAATACTCTATACAATCTCAAAATTACCTGTGTTTTCTCTGGATCAATATACAGCTATGACACTTTAATTAAGGTTTTAGGCTAAACACTTTGGAGTTTTAGAATCCCTTTACTTGCGTGATTTTGAAATAATGGCAGATGTGATGCCATAGTGTGACACACAGCAGTGTCGATCATAAAACAGCAGTTAGCTACATCTTAGTGGAGCACTAATTATGTAGGGTGCTGTTTGATTTGGAGTACTTGTCTTTATCACGCTGCTCTTTTGGGATGAAGAAACAAAGTAGGACAGGAGGAAGTCTGGCACACAACCCTATCTCTAAAACTAGTTAAATCAACATGTATTTTAGAGATGTGTAAAGGGAAAATAAGCAGGAAATCTTGTATTTAATTTGTAGCTTCAGGATAGAGCAAAGATAAGTATATAACTAACATTAAATGCTATCTTAAAATTGCCATAGTTTTCCTACATTCAGCCTCAGATAAATGTGCAAAATCATTGTTATCATCCTGATTTACAAGTAAGGAGACCCAGTGTCTGAATTTCAGTGAAGTCACGCCTTTAATGAATGACTGTGCTGGCATTTCAGTGCCAGGTTGACTCCCTATGATCTTTTCTTCCGCGATCAGCATTTAATTTTGTTCTTTATAGCCCTGAACTTTGCAAATGTTTCTTTTAGTCTGATTAGATATTTTGACGGTTTCAATGGGTTACCTAATGTTGCTTTGACATTCTTATTATGTTTGATCCTTACAGAATATGAAAGCGATTTCCAGTAATTGGGTTACCATCTAAAATGAATGAGTTGCTGACTACTGCAAACCTCATTTTTCTTTTTTATATATTATATACCAGTCATTTTACCTTTCACACTTTCCTATAAAATCAAAAGTTATCTACTATTTTTGAATTTTCTAAGTTCTAGTTTTCTAGTCTTAATATAATTTGATCGTGTCAAATGTGTTAATGGTTACCCATGGCAGACAATGTTTGGTGGCACTCCCCGATTAAAACATGCTTGGAAGCAGGAGTGGCATTCACTTATGTAATAGCTTGCCTCCAGAAACCTTATGAGCCTGAAGAAAGGATGAAAGTCACGCAATTGTTGAGGACTTTCGTTCGTTGGGTCGCTATAAGTCGCCTACGACTCACCGGCACTTAATGACACAAATAATATGTCATTATCTTTCAGCAGAATTT